TCTTCCAAAAGAAAAGTAATTTAATAATATTTTTATAGTAGACTATTAATTTCGCTATTATTATCCAACCAATTGGGTACGCCAAGTTTCACCAGAAGTAATTTAATATCTATTCAATAAATTATTCGTGAAATTAGAAACTGACCTATTCATTGATAGTATTAATATTGTTTTATCGGTGTATTTTTTCCTATCTCTCATTTTTACGACGTGAAAATTCGCAACATCGTTCTTGATTTTAACTATTCTCGAAATACAATCGATTACAATACAATCGTTCCTTCACGAAACTCATGTCGCCTTCTTTTATCGCGGCTAGAAGAGAAATTTACGATTGTTATCAATATTAAAATAACTTCCGCAAAATTTGGCTTCTCGTTATCCCCGTTGAATAAATGACAATATCGTTGTTGAATAAATAATATACGGCTTGTATACGTGACAAGAAATCGCAGTGTACAGTATGTCAATGACTTGAAATTTGCTCGCGATACGTGTTGGTCGATCTGCCGGTGATATTCGATACAGACACGTGTTCATCATACCTTGGGATCGACTTTCACGAATTCATTCGAGCTGTATTCAGCTACGGCTTCTCGCGCTTTCAGGTAACCTGTAAAACAAATGTGAACTTTTCACATTACGGAATAAACATAATTATCGTTTAACGTTATTACTATGACGTGCAACATAAATATCCATTTATTAATGATTCGATAAATTATCGTATAAGACAGGCAAACGTGTCGCATATATCAACTTAATAAACGCGATAATTATTTACGGTATTATTTAAATGATTTATCTATACTCGCTTGGAAAAATTGGTAATACAATAGGATGTACAATGTGATGTAATTTATATGTCAACCATTTATGTCAACCATTAACAAATTTTTTTCTCGTCATTTCTGTTGCATTGTAAAATCTGCAAACAAGATTTAGATAGAAGGCAAGTCAAGGCATATTTATAGAGACGTTAATTGCGAATTAAAATTACCTGTGCTCGGTGCATATCCGTTGTATAATTGCGAAGCGACGCTCTCTTGGACAGCCTCGATCACTTCTTTCGGTGGTTTTAAATTGCCGAATGTTGTAGGATCGCCTTAAACCAACGGAATACATACACTAGAATCTCGAAAGCTTTAAAAAATTCCATAAGCATTAGTTCGTTGTTGTTTGTCTTGCAATTATGAATTCATGAACCGGCAATGCTCCGTAAATCTGGTTCTCCGCCAAACATTCGCCGTTATAATGTCGCGTAAACATCTAATTAGACGCACGCCATATCGTTATAATTGATTACTGAATTCAAACTAGGATAATTGTAGGAAAACGGTAGTTTACAGAAACGTTGTCAAATTGTAACGAAACACTCGCCACTCGACTCGCATTCTGAATATAATTGGAATTAATTAATTGTTTCCCGCAGGCTATTCCCATAGACGATCCTCGTTGCGAAATTTCTATTACGAGCCAACAGCGAAACGGCGAAATAAAATCCGAGCTTTACGAATGCCATGAGATTTATGTAATTACAACTTCGCCACTGTTAATCGAAAATGCGTTTCGATAATGTTGAAGTTAATATTTTTCGATTATATATTACATTTCTATTATAGTAAATGTCAATTAGTGTACACACACACACACACACACACACACACACACACACACACACACACACACACACACACACACACACACATTGAAATGTTTGAATCTTGAATCGTCAGTATATTACTAATCACGCGAGTTAATGGCGTGTATGTAATTTTCAATAATTAACTTTACTAATTACTTACTTACTAGTTTTTTAACTTAATTATTAATTAACTTAGTTTTTATTAATTCAGTAATAACTTAATAAAGATATTGACTTGAAATTATATGAAAAAATATACAATGTATAAGTTCAATAGTTTTTGTATAGCTGCAGGTAATAATAGAAAAGAAAATAAAATTGTTTAATCAAATTTGTTCTTTGGAAAAAATTTCAGTATTTTGAAGTTTATTAATATTAAGTTTATTAATATTTTATTAATACTTTTATTATTATATTTATATGTTATTTATGCATTATTTTATATTATAGAAATTTTAATATTAATAAAAGTTTATATATGTGTTGTTTTCACTGAATATGACTGTGCAATGAAAAGTTGTATTAACAATATTTTTAAAACAATTTTTTGGAATTTAATATTATACTTTTAAGTAATAAGAAGAAAGATTTTAATCAAATTTCTTACTTTACCAATCTTTTAATTAATAATTCACTGATGGCTCAAATATTTCAACTTATATAATTTAATTATATATATTTTTATATTAATTAATATTATGGAATTCATAAATCTATTTTGCAATATTTTTAGTTTGCTATCTAAATATTGAAACTTTATTTACGATATAGGAAACATGTATATAACTTTTCAAAATTTGATATATAACTCATCAACAATTCTCTGAAATATTCTGTCTTTTTCATAAAAAAGAGTTTCATAAAAAAGAGAATGCAAAATTTCAAGATATAATCACGATATTGTATCATACTTCTTTCTTTTTCATTTACAAGAACAAAAGAGTACAGCACTGTACAAAAATTTTCACTGCCATTCGATTTTTAACATTATAATCTTCTTCGAATTGTATATATATATAGAATAAAAGAAAGCTCTTGAAAATGTGCACAGCCGTTGGCACACCCGGTCGGGATTTGTATCGAAATATATTTAGATTAGCGTGCTTGTATGTCAGTTCTGTTCTATTCCACTATAAAATTTGCTGAGGACGTTTTTCCAATACATTCTGACACATCCGCATTCTGTACCACTCATATTCTGCAAATGTTAAGGGGACTCACACGTCACTATCACCGCCTTTGAAGTTTTCGCTGCTTTTGAAACTGTATGTCGGATTAGTTAAAACCGCATATCCCAACATGAGAGACGTTTAAAGAATTTTTTAAAAAATTAAGAAAGTTAAAAAACAAAGGATAAGATTAATTTTCGTAGATAAATATCGTTCATGTTTCAGTTTTACATGTATAACTATCTACATCTTCAGAATCTTTTCGTGTTTCGTTTATCCATCCTTAAGCATTTGTAAAAAAATAAAAAGAAAAAAATATTTTTAAACAAAACTTGTATAAGTTGGCAATTGGATATTTATATAACACTTTTTACAAAATTGCTATCAATTTCTTTTGCGATATTTGACATGTTTTCATGAAAAAGACGCAACAAAATGTATAAGATATTATGTTTTATTTCTTTTCTTAATACTCGTTATTGTATGTTTAGAATCGCTCACGTAGAAAGGTCCACATTTTAAATAGCATTACTTTTTTTCCTTTAAAGACAGTGTCGTAGGAATTCGATTGGGCCAAGTATATTGCAATTGTTTTACCGCTTGGAAAACTGTTATCCGATAAACCTTTGAAAAAGTTGTTTCTTTTAGGTAGAAAGTCGGCAAACGAAATATTGTCTATCCTACGTCGCGTGTTTGCGTACCAATATTTTTCAGAGCGAACTGCGCGTATTAAGTTTTTTTATTACTTTTGCAAGAAACGGAGAGAGTTCAGAAACAAAATTAATCTGTATTTTAATGAAGTTACAAAAAAATAAGAATGTAATATACAATACATATGAATACAAGTGTGAAACTTTCTTATTGAACGAATAACGGGAATTGAATTTTGAAATTGATGAAAAATGTGTCTCGAATTTATAAGTCCGAACACTGTAACAACTAATTATTATTTCTCGTAAAACATTTCGCAGAGATCGATTCCAAGAATTTAGAAAAAGTATCATTAGTACGATTGATAGATGATCACGTACACGACACTAAAAATGAATTTGATTGCCCCAAAGACGATACATGAAAAATTACATGGATATTTCATGCGTTTTCGAAAAAACGAATAGGTCGCATGGAACGCACAGTTTGATATTTCCAACCCAGTTCCTACGGGACTCCAGAGTTGCTCCAAATGCGCTTTTTCATATTCTAGCATATTTCCCTCGCATGGGATATTTGACCTTCCATTTTTCACCAATCCATCAAAACTTTTTTCACATCAAGCGCCGGAGATCATGCATATTGAGGATCCAGCTGTACTCGCGAGAAACAGCGAAAGTTTGCATTTTGTATGCATTTACTCGCGTTTACCGGCAAAGCCGGCCTAGAGCCTTTGTAGATGGCTCTCTATTTGCGTAGCGTTTTTCACAAAGTAAAACGAATAGAAGTAACCATTTTCAGTTTTATGAATTTAATTCTCTATATATTAAGTGTTGCATTTTATTATTATATCTATTTTCATGTATTATCGACAACATCAAAGGCAAATTATCATTTTGCTTGGACGCGCACATCACACTTTTGTAGTACAGAAAGAATATGATGTATAATATTCCCTTTATTTAAAAGAAATGATTGACCGTGTTGGTCCCATTATCTTTGGACCCGCGTAAAAAAAAAAAATAACCGCTTGATTACACCATCGTGATAGACCATCACAATGCTTTTCTGTCTTTCATCTTTTGTCGCGTAAAAAGATGGAAATTCAGAAAATCAACGGCGAATCTCCGATATTATAATGCAAATAAAGATCCACCTCTTGCCAGGAAAATTCTTAAAAGCGCGCAATATTAAAGTTGAATACAGAATATATTTCAAGAATATGTGTCTCTTTTATGTTTATGAAAGCTTGAAATTATAATCACAAAAAATTTTTTTATTTTAATATATATAAAAATAATTACGAATATATATAAAATTATATATAAAATATAATTGCGAATAATTATTTATTATTGCAATTTTTATATCTTTTTATTGCAGAGAAATTTTTTTAGTAATTTTGTTTCTCAAAATATTCTGCGGTAATACTTAAACGCAATCTCTTAAAAAGTATGATGCAACATATCTTTTAGCAATATTTCAAATATATCATGCAATAGAACGAACATTTTTCCTATTTGCCTTCTTTGACATTTTTAAAATCTAATTTTCTTTTCTTATTCTTGCATATTTTTACAAATTTTGTTTTGCAGAATCTTTCAGAAAAAATTAAAGTCTTATTTAGGTATTTAAAGTATTATTTATTATAAAGGAAATATATTTAACGTTTTTTAATAAAAGTGTGAAAAACATTTTTCAGTAGAAAATAGTTTCAAAATAATTTTTTAAAAACAATTAAAGTTTAGTTTTAAAAAATTATTAAAATAGTTTTAAACAACAAAATATAATATTAAGAACTCATTATTATGTGCATTTTATTATATTATCAAAGAAACAATTTACGAATAAAATTAGTTATTTAACGATATAATTAACGATACAATAAACGAATATACAAAAGGATTTTAGTTGTAACAGCTGAAAATCTATCAGCTTTCTATCCATGAATTATAATGAAAAATAATCACTTAAAACTGTAAAATCTCTGAATATAAAAAAAATATAATTTATTTTATATTATTTTAAAAATTAAATGAAAAAATTAAATTTTTTCTTAAAGACATTGTGATTTAGTTTTCTTCTTGAAAACAATGTAAAAATACATATTTTATTAATACCGTTTTATTTGATATGATGAAAATTGATATATATATATGATATATTTGTTATATACATATATTCAAAGGTCAGTTGTATTTTAATGGGTCTATACTTTTTGAACTAATTAATTTAGCCTGCTTTTAAGGATGAAGAAAAATTTCTCTCACAGAGAAGAACAATTACTTTTAGCACTAAACTCACAAAATGAACTCATAAAATGATTTTTGCACACGAAATAAACTCACCAATCGATAACGCGATCATCGGCTTGCTAGGGTTGGGTTCGACGACGATGTTCTCCACGATCGACCTTATGGGATTGTGCGTTCTTCGCGCGATATCGGAGGCACAAACATTCCAACGTTGTTCACGGAAGCTGGATACGGACATCTCGTATGAAGAAATACCTCTCGTAAGCTTCACTTGCTGATCCCTGTCGGTAGGCAACTAGCGGACGCGCGCGCGCGCGCGCGTGTATGTGTGTGTGTGTGTGTGTGTGTGTGTGTGTGTGTGTGTGTGTGTGTGTGTGTGTGTAGG